CAAAAGGTGCACGTGTGGCTTGATGTACTATCATTGTAATTACATATAAAACTTCGTCTATACTCTAATAAAAAGTTCCCCAGATCAAAGAGGTCACCTTAATACCAAAAAAAAAAAAAAAAAAGCAAAGCATAAAATGCAAAATAAAGAAAAAATAGGTAGCCCAAAAAAAAGCTAACAGGAAAATACAAAAAGTATAAAAAAAAGCTAAAATTGAAAAAAGAAAAGAAAAATGTTTGTATAAAAAAAAAGATAATAAAAATAATATAATTCTTATCATGCAGATCTTATTATGATATGAGTATCATTCATTTTTGATAAATTTGTATATAAATTATCAAAAATGTAGTTTATACAATATGCAAATCTTAATAGTAAACAGTGTGCCATATTACCCCCAACCTAAAAAATATAGCAGTTTTTAAATAGATTTTTGAAGTTCTTAAAATCAAAATTTTTTAAAAAAAAAATTTATTTTTTTTTGTTTGGTGGCAAAGATTAAGTTGAATATTAGCTTATTTCAATAAAATTTTGGAAAAATAATTTTTCCCTATGAATTTTTACTATTAGCACTCTTAGGTGCGCCGTAATACCCGTCCTGCCCTTACAATTTTTTAATACGTATTATCGTTTCTGAATTACAGGACACTTCAAGAACAGTGACATTTGTTTACTAGCACTAACAAATCGGCCTAAACTATAATATCGATATTACCTAACTCTAACACTACCCTAACTTAGGCCGAGTGTTTAATCATGTGATGTGATGATCACGGAGATATCACTGGGTTGGATACGTATCACTTCACCGACACTCGTTTCGTAGACATAACATTTCACTGACATGTTTATTTCACCGACACTTATTTCGCAGACAAGTTTATTTCACCGACAATTTATTTCGCAGAAGCTCATTTCATAGACAAATTTTTTTTTATAAAGTTCACTAACCTTAATTCTAATTCTAACCTGACCTTAACGACAATGACCTGAATTATTTTGTCTGTGAAATAAGTTTCGGCGAAATAAACTGTCGGTGAAATGGAAAATAAATGTCGGTGAAATAACATGTCGGTGAATTGTTGTCGGTGAAATGTTATTTTTACGAAACAAGCATCGGTGAAGTGAGCTGAACCGACTGGGTTCACTGTTCTTGAAACTACCCCTTTTATATAGTTGATATTCCCTCTTACCAAGTTTTTCAACCCTCTCACCAAGTTTCTCAATCTTCTCACCAAGTTTCTCAACCTTTTTATCAAGTTTATCAAGTTTCTATATTCGAATGAGATGCTTAAAATTTAGTGATTTTGTACTTATTGGTTATTATCATTAAATCTTCTTCAATATCTCATTAATCAGCATAACTGAACGTTCAATTGAAGTATTGATTATACTCCAGATGCCATAGATCGAACTAGCTCCTGTTCCTGTGAAAGTACCATAATGAATAATATCATATGCTTTAAGGGACGGAGCAAGCGAATCTCCTAATTTTATGAAGTAAAAAGTTGTTATTTACACCTTAATAAATTTACAACACTGTTATTACCTTTATTAGGAGTAGGATATTGTCTAGCCAACCGTTTAACGGTAGGTAAAATTTTCGTGCGTGTTTAAGCATGTGCATTAAGTAAAATTGTTTTTTTAATGGTAAAAACAGAAATGTTTATGTAATATAAAAAAAATGAGAAAGTTTTCGCGAATACATAATGACATAAAATGATTCATATTACATAATTTTCTGTCAGTTTAGACCACTTACTATGTATAAATTAGTTTCCAATTACTGATATCACATGAAAAATTAATTGATTAATTGTTAGTTGTATAGTTGTTAAGTTGTATAATTGATATTAAACTAATTATTGGAACTCAATTCTATTGCTATAAATCTTAAAAATATATATAATTGAAGTGTATAACATGGCAAATTTATTATTATGGTAATGTTTGAATTATTATTATCATTATTGTTTTATTGATCTATCGACTACACAAACAGTATACAATATTGGGCAAAAATTGTCGAATAACGGTAATTTGGCAAATGAACACGTGCCGCTTTGCGGCACGTGTAGCCAATCATTTGTCAAATTACCTTATCCGACATGTCTTATGTGAACATCGAACGATTTTTGTATAAGTTATTCGGCCACCCCCTAATACAAATACACAAATTTTCATCACCTCTTTAAGAGGTGATGAAAATTTGTGTATTTGTATTAGGGGATGGCCGAATAACTTATACAAAAATCGTTCGGTGTTCACATAAGACATGTCGAATAAGTAATAATGACAGTCACATTAAATATGTATTGTTAGTAAGAGTTATTTATAAATAGAAATTTAAATTTAAAAAGGAAACAAGGGTATCGGAATAATGAAGTGCCGATGTCACGAATGATATCAATTATGTGGATAGAAAAGTTTTAGTTTTATTTATTTCATGTGAGAGAACTTAAGTAACAATAGTAGGCAATATTCATATGCATAGACAATAGTCAGAAGACTTCGTGGTTGAATATTCCATCTGTTAAATCTTTTACAAGGATAAATACTCAATCACTTACATTCGATATCAAATAAAAATAAAAATAACGCCTATCGTGACTAAGCTAAATATGCGAAAATGGGTACCTGCCATTCACAGGCAGACATGTTTACCTCCGCCAAACAGGTTATTTTACTGAGTTTTCTAATTTTCTATAACCCACAACCATAAACAACATACTGCATTTCATCTATTCTAACTCTTAAAAGACTATCTCTAAGAAAAAAAAAACCACTATATCAAGATAAGAAAAAAAAAAAGTTTATACGTATTATTAAAAAATAATAATAATAGCTGGCGGTTTTTATATATTCATGTTGTTCCACATTAGCCCTAATAAATTCCTGTTTTTATGACCCACATACGTAGATATCAATGATATTAGAAAATAAATATTTACATGTTGTGTAATTATGTCATCTGCACAATAACAAAGCTATTTGGATTACGTGTTACGTGTTACTTTCATTTAACATGAAACCTCAGGCATCAATAACTTTTACCAAAAGAGTCCAGATAATGAATTAGAATGAATTATTATACGAATAATACTCGTTGTTGGGTGCTTTGCATCAATAACTATATATATGAGAAACTCCTAAGTGCATCTCTGTAAATGCATTCTCTATGAAAATTTTTTAAGTGCACAGTATAGTCTGATCCAAGCTCATAACAGTATAATAGCACTATATATTTTGCCTTCTATAAATGCATACCCTCTTAAATGCATATTTTTACTATGGTTCCGAAGGGTGCACTTAGAAAGGTTTTTCTGTATTAATAATAATCATCCATAAACACCCTACTCTTCCACCTCTTGTGCATTTTATTAAATTTTTTTTTCAGCTTTTAACTATGTTAAATTTGTGTTACGCAACAGACTTTTTGTCGTTACTATGCAATATTGTACAATATGTGAGCTAGTTGTTACAAAAAAGGGGGGGGGGGGAATACAACATTTCAATTTTTTTTTTCTGTTTTTTTTTTTGTTTTTTGGAAATAAAATTAATAGGTTCTTTCCTTTTTTCTTTTCCTTTCTTTTTTATATAAAGCAGAAAATCATAATTTTATATTAACAAAATTTTGCGGTAAAGTATATTTCATGTACGTACGTATCTAGAAGAATCTGGAAAGATCCGATTAGAAAAGAGTGTTTCCATGATAGTAGTGAATGTCCGAAGCGTAGGACTTTTAGTGTTTATGCATGGTGATATAAAAACTACGTTTTTGATGCATTAAGCCACCAGGATTTGCTTTTTTGGAAATTTTTTGTCCGCACGCGTGTTCAAATTTGTAATTTAGTACAACAAAAAATATGCATGCTACGCGTTTGTGTTATATGATAATCGTCATGTGCTCTGGACGCATATGTAGAATCTGTGCTCGGTTTTTAATCACGTGATGACGATCATTCGTACTAAGTAAAAATAAAAATTATTAAAACTTTAAATCAAAATATCTTG